CTGGGACTATGGGAGAAAGACACTGGGACTATGGGAGAAAGACACTGGGACTATGGGAGAAGGATACTTGGGTTACATGAGGATTCTGGGGCTACAGGAGAAGGACACTGAGTCTACGGGAGAATCATAGAATCACAGAATCAACCAGGTCAGAAAAGACCTCCGAGATCATCGAGTCCAACTCCTGATCCAATGCCACCAAGGTTACTAGACCATGGCAAGAAGGATGATCAAAATACAGGAGAAGGATGCTGGGGCTATGGGAGGATCCTGGGATTACAGGAGAAGGACACTGGGGCAACCGGAGGAGGGCACTCAGGATACAGGAGCAGGACACTGGGGTTACAGCCCTGCAACCAACCCCTCCCTCACAACAACAGCCCCCTCAGGGCTTTCAGGGCATGAAGGTGCCATGTGGGAAGCACCAGATGCTCCAGGCAGGCACAAGGATGGATCCCCAGCACACCGGGATGCTCTGACACCTCTGGGTGGGATGCGTCCAGCACCACGGTTGGGTCTGATCTGTGTTTCTGCTCTCACCACCCTGATTTTCATTCCCATCATGTCCAGCTGGCTGGGAGCCAGGCTGAGGAGAAAGCCGGGCTCAGCTGGGATGCAGCTGTCCAGACAGGGATCAATACGGGACGCGCGGAGAAGGCTGATTTCATTCCAGCCTCCAACAGCACCCAACAAGGCACCGAGCCCCACTCCTGAATTGCTCCTTCCACAGCTTTTCCTTGGGAAAACAGAGAGGTGGCAGCAGGGGAATTCCCCCTCTCCCAGTCCCTTAAACCACGCTGGAAAAGAAAAAGCAACTCCAGTCTTTTCCTGGCAAACTCCATGATCGGTTTGAGCGGCTCCAGAAAAGCTTTTCCTTTGCTCCGTGACTTTTGGGCTGATTCCTGCTGCCATTTATAGGCAAATAAATAAATAATCATCAGCCCCACTAATAAAGCGCAGCTTGGTCTTAGCCCGAGGCCACCTCTCCCAGCAGCAGGGGGGTCGTTTTTCCAGCTGGATGCTCCAAATCCTCACCCTGCTCCTCCCAGCTCTGGTATAAACACCGGGAAGATCCAGCTCCCCGCACTCGGATGAAGGGGGACTGAAAGGACCAGATGGGAATTTTCTAGGGCTTGCTGCAAAATCTAACAAATGCCAACACACACCAAAAAAAGACCCCAAAACCCCATAAATCCAAGAGTTTGGTGATTTTTCAATGCATCCTGGTTGGATTGGCCAGTGAACAAGGCAGCATCCCAGCAGCAAGGATTTCTCCAGGGATAAGCACACATGAAAAGCCAAAGTTTGGGTTACTCTGAGTACTCCAAACCAACTAATTTGGCTGAAAATACCCTAAAGAACCAGGGGTTTAGGTGGGTTTTGGCACTGGGACCACCATGGACTCGTGGGATTCAGCTGAGTGGTTGAAATAAAACCCAACAGCCCTTTGGTTTTGCTGCTCATCCAACCCCCACCAGCACAGCCCGTGGTGTCGGTGCCACCCCCGCGGTGACACGGTGGGTGCTCAGCATTTCCAACAAAAATAACAGGCGAGAACAGAAAGCAGAAGCAGCTCCACAGCACCAGTGTTTCACCACGTGAGTGCTGCATCTCGAGTGCTGTGCCCAGCTCTGGGCCCTCAGGTTGGGAAAGATGTTGAGGGGCTGGAGCACGTCCAAAGAAAGGAACGAGGCTGGGGAAGGGTGTGGAGCACAAGTGCTGTGAGGAGCAGCTGAGGGAGCTGGGGGGGCTCAGCCTGGAGAGGAGGAGGCTCAGGGGAGACCTTCTCACTCTCTGCAACTCCCTGACAGGAGGGGGGAGCCGGGGGGGGTCGGGCTCTGCTCCCAGGAATCAGCAGTGGGACAAGAGGGCACAGCCTGGAGCTGCCCCAGGGCAGGTTTGGGTTGGCCATTGGGAAGAAGTTGTTCCCAGAGAGAGGGATCAGCCCTTGGAATGGGCTGCCCAGGGAGGGGGTGGAGTCCCCATCCCTGGAGGTGTTTAAGCAGAGCCTGGATGTGGCATCAGTGCCATGGTGTGGGGGACAAGGTGGGGTTGGGTCACAGGTTGGACTTGATGATCTCAGAGGTCTTTACCAATCTAATTGACCCTCTAATTCTGTGATTGCCCCCAAAAATCAGGTGCTTTGCTGGCACCGTGGCATCATTCTGTTAAATATCCACGGCAATCATGGAAAAATAAACTCCTGGAAATGCCACCCCAGTAACCCCTTGGCACGGCCACTCACTCACCAACGCAGTCGCAGGTGGGGAATTCTGCCTGTGCCCTCTTGGCCGGGGTGTCCAGGAGGCTTTTGGTCGGCGTGTCCAGGTACTTCAGCGGAGACTCCAAAAAGCCGCTCAGAGTCGGCGTCAGCGGCACCTCGTCCTTGGTGGGCGTCCTGTCGGCGTCGTCCACGTCCGGGTTTTGGCTTTCCTCAGAGTAAAAACACGTGGTAGACACCACGGTGATAGCACCAGAAGATTCGATTTTGATCTGTTTGGGGGAGCGGGCGGTGAAGGGGGGCTCTGACAGCGGAGCCTTCCCCGGAGACAACGCGCAGCTCTTGGGGCTGGGCTGGGGAGCGCTGCCCGGGGCCGGGGCGGCGGCGGCGCTTTGGGGGGACCCTTGCGGGGCTGGTGCTGGTCCCCCCGGCTCCTCGGTGGCCCCGGGGGCGAGCGGGGCGGGCGTCTCGGGGGGCGGCAGGTTGAAGTTCTCCCCGAATTCGGCTTCAAATTGTCGGATAAGCTCTTCCAACTTGTCATCCACCATGATGGGAGCCGAGGTGGTCGGCAGGGGGGCAGCCGGCGCTTCCTCCGAGCCCGCCGGCGCCGAGTGAATTTGGGGGCCCCCCCCGGGGGCACCCCTTTCCTGAGAGTCGGGAGCCGGGGGGACGCCACCGGGGGGGTTGGGTGGCGGGGGGCATGCGGCGGGCTGGGCTAGTGCAAGAGGCTGGTGCGGGAGGGCCGATGGCGGCGGCAGCAGCGGGTCCGTTTGCATCTCCTCGGGGGGGGGTTCGGCGGGGGGTTCGGCGGGCGCCCGAAACCCCTCCAGGCTGATCTGCCAGAGGGGCAGGAAGAGTGGCTGTGAGTCCTTCTGCTTCGCCTTCTTGATCTGCACTTGCTTGCGGAGAGGTTTGGCCGGGGGGGGCTTTTCAGGCGGCATTTTCTTCTTCTTCTCTTTGGGCTGCTTTTCAAAGGGTTTGGGGGGCACGGCAGGGGTGCCAGGAGCCCACCATCCTCCCGGCCGGTCTGGGGGAGCTGCCGCTGCCAGGCTTTGCTCGAGGAAGAGGCTGCGCTTGTGGTGGAGATGCTGCTGCAGGACCAGCTGCGTCTTCTTGTGCAGGTCGGGCTCCGGTGGCACCGGCGGCAACGGGGGGCCACCCGGTGCCTCCTTGCTGGCCGCTCGCTCAGGGGGCTCTGTTTTGGGGGCCGTCACTTTGCCAGGGGTCGCTTCGGGTCTCTTGAAAGCTGCCTTGATGTAGTCGTCAGCGTTCCCCAGCAGCTGCTCCAGCTCTGCCATGGGGTCTCCAGCCCCCGCCGCCCCCTCAGCCTCCAGCCCCCACGGCGCTGAGAAGTTGCCCCGGGGCGGTGCCGCGCCGAAAAATGGCTCAGGTGCTGCCCCCGGCTCGGGCGGGTAGCGGGGCTCGTCCCCTCGCTGCCACGCGGCCCCCGGTGGGGCGAGGGGGCCTGGGCCGAAGGGGGCGGCGGGGGGCGGCGGGGGCGGCGGCTGCCCATCACCCACGGGCTGGGGCAGGGCGGCCGAGAGCTGCGTGAGGGCCTCGATGGCGATGGCGGTCTGCAGGCTGATGTTCTTCTCCTTGGCGATGGTCAGCGCGCTCTGGGAAAAGGGGAGGCCGTCGGGTGGGCACGGCTCGGCGGCCTCAGGCACCGGCTGGGGGTCAATAGCACCTTCCTGGGGGGTGGGAGGGGGGATGGCGGCGGCGCGGGGCCGCGGGGACGCCAGTTCTTCGCCCAGAGCCGTCTTGATCTTCTGTTCCAGCCATTCCAGGTAGTCGGGGCACTCGGGGCCGTCGCAGTTGCAGTTGGGGGGCTTCACACCGTGCTTGGCCAGCGCCAGGGCGGCCTTGAGGGCGTGCAGGTCCTCGCCCCTGGGCACGCCGTCGGCCGCGCCCAGCCCACCCCGGCTCATCTCCGAGTCGAACTTCTCGTACAGCAGCGACGGCGAGCCTGGCGGGGGGAGCCGGTAGGAGGAGACGGCTTCGGCCACCGCCGAGAAGGCCACCAGGTTCCGGACGTCTTCCAGGGGGGCTTTGCCAGCGGCGGGCGGCTGATCTGGCGACCACCCGCTGGACTCCATCAGCGCGGTGCCCCCCGGCTCCAGCCGGCCCCCATTCACCAGGCTGAGCCCGCTGCCCTCGTTCAGCCGCCTTTCTTCCACATAATTAATTGGCCCTTCTTCCATTTGGCTTCTGCTGGGTCCATCAACCGCGTCACCCGCCGAACCTGTCTGTGAGGAGAGACAGAGAAGAGAGGTGAATTCCCCCTCCATGACCCACGTGCCATCAGCCCCCAGCCCATTTTCTCCCTCTTTTTCCTTCAGTCCCCTTTTCCCCATCTCTTTTTCAGACCCAGGGGATGAAGATGCAGACGAGCCATGTGAAATACTAATCACTGGCGGCAAAGCCACACGGGGTTTGCCCGGCTGAGTAAGGACCAGCTCGGCTCGGAAGGCATCCACTTTCCACCCACGTCCCCACCCCGCCACCCACTTTCAAAATCGCTCACGGGGAGGTCTGGGATTTCCATCGCCATCCTGGCTCTGGTGACACAGTTTACACGGTGAAGGAAGCGGCACAGGGAGGGAGAGGGGGGTTTTTTGGCCCTGTGCCCTGTACAAACATCCTGGCCGGGAGCAGCCGGCCTTTGCCGGGGGCCGCGGCACGGCAGGAAGCTGCCAGAGTTGGCTATGCCGGTGCCAGGGGTTGCTTTCACCTCGAATAACCCGGTGTCTGTATCAACACGGCCGGGCCAGGGCTCCCCAGCAGCGCTGGCAGCGCCGGCGGCACCGGCTGCGTGCCAGGGACGGACCAAACCCAGCCATCCACGTCGGGCACCCAGGGAGCCCATCTGGGATGCACACCCTGGATAAGACCTTCCCAGGGGTTCTGCCAGGGACGGGGGGGTTTCTGTGCCCTGTGGCTCTGTCCCCCCTCGGCAGCGGGGATTTCAGTGCTCCGGCAGCCGGGTGTGCCGGGCGCTGGCAGCGCATGGAGCCCTTTGCCGATAACCAGGGGGAGCTTCCGGCAGGCTAAAAATACACCCCGGTTCGCTGGAAGAACCATGCCAAAGCAAGCAAGGGCTGTGGGCAGAGCTTCCTGATGCTGGATGGGGCCGGCACCGGCTCGTGGGAAGGAGCCGAGGCTCAGATTCAGCAGGGAGACCCTGAATTACAAGTCACAGCTCCAAGTTACAGCTCCGAGTTACAAGTCAGAGCTCCGAGTTACAACTCACAGCTCCGAGTAAGGGCTGGTGTCCAAGCCAGTTTTCTGCGTGGGGCTGTTGGTGTCTGTTGGCTGTTGGGGCCATGTTTAACCCCTCAACCACTGCCCCCACCGCGTCCTTCACCTTCCCCTTCACGGTGGGAGTGTGAGTAGAGCCACGCTCAGATCCCACACCAGAGGTGAGAACGCTGCTAACTCTGGTAAAACCCCAGCGAAACCTTGGAGGAGCCGCTCCCAGCACGATTCTAGCCCCAAAAATCCCTCCTCCCCGTGGAGTGGGGTGAAAACCCCCAGGGAGGCACAGCACAAACCACCGCGGCCCCGCTCTGGCACAGGGCTCACCCTGGTGCTGCCGTGGGTTTGGAGGGGCTGCGGTGCCCTCGCAGCATCCCCGGAGCCGCGGGCGATGGGACCGGTCCGGCAGGTCTGGGGAGAAAGTGCTTCGTCCCCGACCGAGCCCGGGCAGGGTGGGGACAACACGGGCAGGGTGGGGACAACACGCCTCCGCTCTCTCCTTTGCAAAGCACGGCAGAAACAACCTCGCCCGCCCTTCCTTCGCCGTCATCTTCCTCCTCCTCCTCCTCCCGCCCAGCCAAAGGGGATTTTCCCAAGCGTTGGAGATAAACACCACGAGCCCCCTCCGAGAGCGCGGGGGGGACGCGCCGGGGCCCCCAAGTGTCACAGCGGTGACGCCACCCCGGGGAAATGATGACAAACCTGTTTGGCTCCGGGTGGGAGCGGCCGCCGGCCGCCCCTGAGGGTCTTCCCAGGGGGAAGAACATGCTGGGGAAGGGCGGGGGAAGCCCCAAAAAACAGCCGCGGGGTCAGGGAGGCACCCTGGGCTGCTCCATCCCATAAAGCAGGTTATGGATCCGGGCTGGGGATGCATGAAAATAGTTCACCGTGTGAATTCAATGCAGGACTGAGCATTCCCCGATGCTCCTAAAGGGCTAATACGAAAGCCACAACCTTCCCCAAATCAGTGGAGGAAAAAAACGTATATGAAACGTAATTATTTTTTCCTAGTTCTCTCATCCAGCTCCTTTTGTTCCCGGCCCCGTGGGCTGGGAGATGGAAAGACCTCGCGGCTTCCTCCCGAAAATCGATCCCCCTCCCCATCTCGACGCGCTCCACAGAAATCCCCCCATCACTGCCGTGGGCACTTATTGAGCCCCTTTTCCCCGGAAAAAGTGCTGCCTGCTCAAACCTCCTCCCATTCAGCCCGGGAAAGGATAAAAGCTGGGGAGGGGGCTGGGGCTGAAGGGGGGGGGAATAAATTAAAATAACGATAAAACCAAGCTTAATTCAAGATTAATTCAGCTCCTGCACGGCCCCTTCTATAAAAGGGGGGAAAATCCCCTTGAGGACGAAAACACTTATTTTTATTTTAATCTATTTTTCCTCTTTTTTTTTTTTATTTTTCCCCTGTTTAAATGCCTTAAACAGAGGGAAGGCAGGGAAGAAAAAAATAAAAAAGGAAATAACCACACAGGCAGAGCCCGGCTTGGAGGGCTTCCAGCCTGGGCTGCGCTCCCTGGGAATAGTCGGGAGCCGTCTGCAGGGAAGGCAGCGAGCGCCGGGGAGCGCGGCGGGGGCGCGGGGCCGGTGCGGGGCCGGCGCTGCCCGGGCGGCACTTACGTGTGCGGGGCGGGAGGCGAAGGCGAAGGCGACGCGGGCCCGGCCGGGCAGCAAAGAGGGCCCGCAGCGGGTTGTTGGAGCCGCAGCCGCCCCGGCCCTCCCCGCCCCCTGCCAAGGCAGCTGGAGGAGCCATTAGTGCCGGCGCGGCGCGCACGTAGGGATGGATGGAGGGATGCGGGCATGGAGGGAGCGAGGGGCGGACAGACGGACGGACAGTGCAGGGCCCGCCACGGCCCCGCCGCCCCCGCCGGCACCGGGCCCCCGGAACAGCCCCACGGGGGTGCGGGGGGACCCCGACCCCGGAGTCGGCGAGGAGGGACCGATACGGCTCCGGCTGCTCCAGCCGGGAATGGTGGCCCTCTAGATCCCGCTGCCCTATAGATCCTACTGCCCGATAGATCCTGCTGCCCTATAGATCCCACTGCTCCACTGCCCTATAGATCCTGCTGCCCTATGGATCCCGCTGCCCTATGGATCCCACTGCCCTACAGATCCTGCTCCCCTACAGATTCCACTGCCCTAGAGAACCCACTGCACCGCTGCCCTATAGATCCTGCTGCCCTATAGATCCCACTGCCCTATAGATCCTGCTGCCCTTTAGATCCCACTGTTCTGTGCCCTATAGATCCTGCAGCCCCATAGATCCTACTCCTCTACAGATTTGACTGTCATACAGATCCCACTGCCTATAGATCCACTGACCCAGATACCCAGCAATCCATGTATTCAGCAATCTTATACATCCAGCAACTATATATATCCAGTAACCCTATACAACCAAAAACCTGTATATCCAACAACCTCATACATCCAGCAGCCCCATATGTCCAGCAGCCCTATATAATCAGCAATCTTATACATCCAGCAACCTGCATATCCAGTAATCCTATACATCCAGCAACAAATAATATTCAGCAGTTTATATATTCAGCACCTTATATACTCCACAATCCCATATATCCAGCAGACCTATAATCCAGCAACCCTAAACACTCAGCAGCCCTAAATATCCAAGTTCTATATACCAAATCATGGGACCTATACACCCAACAACCCTATATGGCCAGCAGTCCATATATCCAGCAACTCTACACATACAGCAATACTCATACTCATCTATCCAGCAGCCCTATATATCCAGGATTCCTATATAATCACCAATCTTGTACCTCCAGCAACCTGCACATCCAGTGACCCGATATATCCAGCAACTCATTTCATCCAGCAACACATATATCCCACAATCCCATATATGCAGCACCTCTAAACACTCAGTAACCCTGAATTCCCGAGTCCTATATATCCAGCAACCTATACATGCAACAGCCCTATAGGGCCAGGAACCTGAATATCTCCCAGTTCTGTACATCCAAATCTCAAAGCAGCCCCAAACTGACCCAAAAACCAGGGGATGAGCTGAATCCCACAGGGACATCCATCCATCCATCCATCCCTCCATCCATCCATCCTTCCAACAGTCCAAGCTGTTCCAAACCCTCTTTCCCCTCCTTATTTTTCCTTTTCCTCCCTCTTTTTCAAATTATTCCTTTCCACCTCCTTTCTGGGCTGTACGAAACCCAAACTAAACCCATCCAGAACCCACGGGGAAACAGGTTTAAATCCTTCACTCTCCCAAAATACGTATTCCCTCCACCAGGACCCTGAAAATTCCCAAAATTAATACATTGGAGATTTATTAAAGCCCTTGTCCAGAGCTGCAGAGAACGGATGAACTCGGCGCACACAACGCGGCTCGGAAAACGCCGCTGGAAAAAACCACTTGCTTTGATTTAAAGTGCGCAGTTTGGGAGCCGGGGGAAGGCTGGTGGGAATGCCAAGGTGTTCCCAGTGGCACTGGGGCGGGGTCACAGGGCACCGTGTGCCGGGGCCGCGGCGAGGGCACGGTCGGGAGCTCCAGAGGTCAGCGGGAGCCTCTGCCAGTGCCGGCACGGGCCGGCCAAGAGCTCCTTTGGCTGCCGGCCCCACTCCGGTGGAGCCCGGCCAGCCCCGGCATCCCACTGCGGTTTTCCTCCTCTGGCAACAACCCTGGGGGATCCTCTGCCAGGATGGTGGGTTGGGGGGCACCGTGGGAGAAGCCTGGAGAATCCCGCAGAATCCCGCAGAATCGCAGAGCGTCCCGAGGCCCTACAATAACAACACACCCAGGTGGTGCCACCAAAGGGATTTGACGGGAAGGGAATGCTGCTGGAATCACATGCACGCTCCGCGCCGGGATCGACGCTCCCGGGGGGCACCGCTTCAAATCACCAGACTCCAAGACACGGGAAACCCCTTCCCAACCCCAAACCACTGCCACAGCCTCCCAGTGTCGGTGGGAGGAGACTGGAGAGGAGCTGAATGACCTAAA